TCCTCGGGGACTCTGGACTTCCTTTTTAGAGGCGTACGCCCGGAATCCGGAATTTAAAATCAAGTAATGAACAAACAAATGCTGGGCGACCCATCCCATTGTCGATTCCCCAGAATTTTCGGCGCACGAATCAAGTTCTTTTAACACTTGCCAAGGCGACAGCGAAATATAAATGGTATGGGAAATGGCCTTGGCAAAGGAGCCTAGAAAATTGGCTAAAGAAAGTTTATACCAACTAAATGTAATACAATAATATCCTAACTAAATTGACTGACTCTTTTATTATTTATTAATTTTTGTTAATACAGTAACGAAAAGGAACTGCAATAAATTAGCAAAATCATTATCTACCAATATTCAATTGATTTCCTCAATTTTTAGTTCAGTGCATACCCCTGATTACAGCCTATTCAAATGATTACTTATCATCGGCAATCGCAGCCCTTGAAAAGTTGTACAAGTTGCAGTTAAGCTCCTGTCTGCATGTTTGTTTCCCGTTAAGCTCCCGACCAGAAGAGCCTCTTCCAGAGCCAAACCAGCCGATAAGCTATCGCCGATTGTCTGTCTGTGGAGCAGCTTATATCAGCTAAAACCCCTTGAGTAGCTTCTACAAGTGGCCGAACGTAGCCAAAAGCCCAAAATCAAAGCCTAAAAACCTAACCCATACCCAATTCAAGTAGCTCGTGCAGTTCACCTTAATGCGCCCCTCGGCATTCGGCATTCAACATTCGGCACTCGACGGGGGACAGGAAACTGCAGCTCCAAGTTACCGCCACTGCAACTGCATTTCGGACTCGAGATTGGCCAGTTATCTGCTGTCAGTCCATGGGCGTCACTCCTCCCCAGTTCCTCAGTGCAGCAGATAGCTACCCGTCATTGTCCGGAGGCACGGGCTCGATTAGTTGCTAGGGAAAGGTGTGCACTGGGAAAAAAATAAATTCTGGAATAAAAATAAAAATAAAAACTTCTTTTCGAATTTCGATGGTTGAAATCTATAGAATTTGTATTCCAAAGTATAGGATCATTTAATATTCAACCTTAAGGGGTTATATACCTTTTTTTTAAAAAAAAAAAAACGAAATTTTTTTTTTGCTGAATCCTAAAGTATATCCCCTAGAGAACATCTTCCCAAATTTTCATACAGATCCGAATAATAGTTCGATAGGAAAACAGCGTTTTGACGCGCTCGACTTCAATAGTCAACGTAAAACTTTGAATGCGTTTATCTCAAAGTCGTGTTTTTCCAAAAGTGCCTTCGCTGTGACCACGATTGCGCAAGAACTATTTGATCGATCTTCTTCAATTTTTTTTTAAATTATTCGTAATGATTGTGCCAAGTTCGTGAACGATTCAGTTTTTATGCGCCAATTTTAATTTCGCAGATCAGAATTTTTTAATAAAATTTTTAGAACTTGAAAAATCAAATTTTTGGAAAAATTGTTACTGTATGCAGAAAAAAGGAAATATTCTTAAAAGTAATCGTTCACGAACTGAAAATAATACTATACTAACTAAAAATTTTTGGTTTTTTGATATCAGTTGACCTGCTGGACTTCCATCGTGGTCACCGCAAGCCGCTATAAAAAAAAAGGGTTCCGAAAGAATTGCCATAACTTCGTAAATTATTTATATTTTTTCAAGAACAAAGGCTTGTTGTTTCGATAAGAACATGTACTATCAATAAATAATAACTTCACTGTCATAAAATAATTGCTACACACCAAAAAAAAAATCCAAAGTTCCCTCAATCGCTCAAAAAAGGTATATAACCCCTTAATAGCACGTTTAAAATAATATTACCACATTTCTTTTTTACTTTTGAAACATTTATTAACGGAATAAAGAATTATTTTAAATTTATATTAAAATTCCAATGTTTGGGATAATTTTCAAAAACTATTTTTCCAGTGTGTTGTTTGCCTTTGACCGGACGTTAATTGGATGACTGCTGGACCCCAGTAGGACCTACTGCCCGGTTCCAATCTTGGCAGCTGTCTGCCGAACGACGCCCGCTGGGCACACATGTCCTGCGATGTGTCCTCCTTTGATTGCCTACTAATCCTGGCCATCGATGCTCAGGCGACAATCGAAGTAAACAGCCAGACAAATGGGCAAACAAATGAGCCGGGGCGTGTGTCCTTAAACGAGCCAAATTGGATCATAACTGCGAAATGCTGAAATCTGTGCAAACAGCGTTCTAATTAAGTCCTGCGGAGAGGGCACACATAAAAAGGACATCGGACCTCGCTCCAAATAACCCAAGCCCAATGGCCATTAAAGCCGGACAATGGGGGCGCGTGTTTTCTGAATTGCGTCACAAGAGCGTTGACTTGGATCGGGAATTAATTATTGGGGGAAAATACATATAAGTCTCAGGGGGAGGTTTTGACGTCAGCTGGTTTTAGTAACCAAAAAATCCAATTTTAATGTAGGAAATTAGTAGAATTTTAGCGATTTTTAAAGGAAATCCGTTTTTTGAGGAATGTTAATCTAATATCCGAATTCAATGGAATACATAAATAGTGCAAAATATCTCTTTAAATTATAATTTATAATCATAATCATAATAATAATAATCATAATTATAATTTATAATAAATTACAAAGAACGAAAAAACGTATGGTTTATTTTTACCAGATTTTAAAACGTGTCGTAAATTTCGTGGAGTAAGCGGATGACGAAATAAATCTATTTATATTACCTTTAATAATAAGTTAGAAAAAAATTCGGCAAAAACCTTAAAGAAATATTTATTTTTAAAAGAAATCGTCACAATTGTAAAACTTCTAAACCAGATAAAATTGAGTGCGCAGAAAAGATTTTAGAAATTTCTTGATGTCGGGACTTTTGGGACTAGAGAAGAAGTGGCCTCGCGTCATAGAGGGCCTTGGGAACCGCGTGATCCACTGAAACCAGGCTCGCGATAAGCCAAGACCAGAAGTGCCCAAAGTGTATGGGGCGTTTCCCATGTGTATTTGACCCCTGATATTACCCAGATTTCAGAACCTATTTCACGACAGAAAAACAGAAACAACTCTTAGGCCGTCGGACGCAATATCGACAATCTGGGTTTATAATGGGGGCGAAACTACCGATCGAAGCCACTCACAGCCACCAGAATCAGCAGAACCGCCAGCACCACACTCCATCCAAATATAATTGGTCCCATGGGGCACCTACTTATCGCCTGGAATGTTCGTTTTTAATTGCCCCATTTTGTTGGAATACAATTTGCCCATGCTGTTGCTTTCGTTGAATTTAACACTCTTTTTATCAAGTAAAACGAAAAGAAGAGGAACACTTACCAAGAAAAAACACTTAGCGTTAACTGGCTGCTATCAAGTGCGAGAGAGTGTTTCGCCCAGAGCCAATCGGCATCGAAAAGGGCCTGGGAAGTGGGTCGGTATAACGCCCACTCCCTTTAGCTGGTGTGGAACACTCTACGCTCTGCACTCTAACTCCAACTCCAACTCCCCAACCACCCACCATTCAAATTCCCCTCGAATTTCCCAACGAGCCATCATCGAATGACTCCAATCCAATTATTGCTAGAAACTGATTGTTCTTCCGTCCTCAAATTTGACACACTTGAAAGATTTATATCCAATATTTTCCACATTTATTGGGTTAGATAATATTTCTATAATTGTACTTATTTTAGAAAAAACAACAATATATTATTAAAAAAAAAATTATTTTAACAACTATTTTAAATGTAGCTCTTTCAAAAATTAGTTTGCATTTTAAAAATTAAAAATTTTTTGCCTTTACAATTTGAAATTTATATTATACATTTCTCTGAGTACATTTCTGGGCAGAGCCAGGCACTTTAAATTACCGCCACTAATCTTGCGGGCATGTCAGCAGAACCCAGTGCACAAACCCAAACCCAAATTCTAGTTTGAATCCAAAAACCAACGACCGACGACCGCAGCTCAAAGTGCAAAGTGCACTTGACAGACAGCCAGCTGCAACAGCTGGAAATGTATCTGAAAATGTATCTGTAACTCTGGGCGGGTATTCTTTGGATCCCTTGCTGCATTTGGAATGGCAATTGCATTATTATCGCTCCACATCGCTTGCGGTTCAATTAACGCTTACTACTGTCCATTATCGCTATGTTTTGAGGGCGTGTTTCCGCATCGCCATCGCAATTCAATTGTCCAGTTGAATATCTTGAGGCCCTTTTGCAATCGAAACTTGAGACAGATGACTCAAGTTAACACTAGACTTGATTTCTTAACGGATAATTGAATTCGAACTATTATTGACAGCATTTGGGTAAATGCCATTACCATAGATTTTTTTAAATATTATTTAAAAGTTGTTATTAATCGCCTATTCTATTGCATTTCACGGATTAATGGCTAAGAGCATTTGTACAAATTTAATTAATTAATACAAAATTATCAACTTTATTCCTTAACTTATAAATTAAAGAATTTTATCTGTTAAGCCCTATATTATATTAACCCATCTGGCAGCAAATCTAGCAAATAATTTGGCAAAGTTTTTCATGACATATAAGAAACAACTTGAGATTCTTGATAAAAACGTACAAAGGGTACCGAATTTAAAGAAAAAAATATATCCTATTCCTAATCCTTATCAGCGTGTTCCTAAAGTTATACACGATTTGTGTATGTATTGTTTAATGGAAACTATAAATATACCCTAAAATTTATTCCTGAATTTTAAATATTTTTTGAAGAATAGTTTTTTTACAAGTGCCTAAGAGTATGCTATAGAAAATCGAGTAAAGGCTCTCTCCTAGTTGATAGGCTATTGTTTGTGCCCAACATATAAGAAGGGTTTGAAGAAAGGATTTATTATTTAATATGCATAAAATAATAATAATAGTTTCACAAATACTAAATATTAAAACATAATTTTAATAAATTTATTTATGTATCCTCACTTTTTAATTTAACTCTTTCGCTACACTATCGATATATTGCTATCGATAGCAGTTCCAGTTGGAACTTTCCATGGGAAGCCGAGCAAGTGCATTTCACAGCAAATGCACTCTCCAATCCGAAACCACAACAAAACACTTTGATTAACTAAAAATAAAGCAATCGCATTTGAATCCCAGTGCACAATGGAAGATAAGGTTATCGGATCGGAGAGTTGGGTAACCGATTCATTCGGTGAAAAACTACGGAACGATGACAACGTGGGTGAGCTGCGGATTGTTAATTGTATCTCTGGGAATTCTGGGGATTCCTCCACCGATTTCTGCTGGTAATGTTCTGGCCGTTTATCCGCACTTTGGTTTTAGCCACTTCAAAGTGGTGATGCCCATACTCAATGAGCTAGCGAATCGCGGACATGACATCACAGTGATCTCATACGTGAAGAATCCCCAAGCCGAGTCCTTTCCCAACTACGAGGAACTGCTGATCTCAGCGCCTGGTGAGGATCAGTCTAGCACCACGATCAATTTGGTGCCCCTGACGGAAAATACACCCACAAGATCCCTGGGAGTACTAATCCGGGAGTATATAGCCCTGCACGATGAGGGTCAGGAGACCTGTGAGCATCTCTTCGCCAGTGGCCACATAGAAAGGGTAATCCAACGACACCAGAACAAACCCTATGACCTACTACTCACGGAATATTTCAACTCCGACTGCCAGCTGGCCCTGGCCAAATTAATGAATCTCCCAATTATAGGCTTGAGTACCTGCGCTCTGATGCCCTACTATTACGATCGCATCGATCTGCCGGATACACCTGCCTTTATACAATCGGAATTTGTGGGTTTTGCCGGCCAACTGAAATGGCACGAGCGCCTGCTCAACTTTGTTCAAGCCAAATTATTAAAGACTCTCTACAAATATCACTCGAATAGGGCCGACAACCAAGTGATACAAAAGTATCTTGGAGTGAATATAGATGTAGATGAAGTAGCTCGCACCCAAACTGCTTTCATTTTCGGAAATCAGCACTACTCGCTGATGGGAAGTCGTCCACAATCCCTACAATTTGTGGAAATCGGAGGAGTGCATATCACTAAGAAGGCAGAACAGGAGTTACCAGAGAATATCAAGAGTTTTCTCAATCAATCTAAGGATGGTGTGATTTTTATCAGCTGGGGTTCCATGGTGCGAGCTTCAAGCATCGATGAAGATAAACTAACAGCTATTTTGGAAGTTCTACAAGACCAGCCCTTAAGAATCATTTGGAAATGGGAGGGCGAAGAGACGCCAAAAACAGATTCATCCAAATTTCTCTTTGTCAAATGGGCTCCTCAATTGGCTCTACTGTGTGAGTGATATCCCTTTAATACTCTATATCCGGATTTTGTTTTTATTAATAGTTTTACAACACAACAATACGAACCAAATTCTAATCATAAGACCAGTTATAGAATGAAAACCGGATTAGGGCCCACAATATTCTCAAATTTAAATACTCACTCTTAATTATATTTCAGGTCACCCCAAAGTAAAGTTGTTTTGGTCTCATGGCGGTTTACTTGGAACCACAGAATCGGTTCATTGTGGCAAACCCTTACTAGTCACTCCGATTTATGGGGATCAATTCCTTAATGCTTTCTCTGTACAAAATCGAGGAATGGGTCAAAAGCTGGACTATGAAGATATCACTATACCAAACTTAAAACAAGCTTTTACGGAACTGAGCAAAAAGAGGTAGGTTTTAAATTCATATTAACAAAACCATTCTCATTAAATCCATATCTTTACTCCAGTTACGCCCAACGTTCTCTTCAGATCTCAAAGATCTTTAATGAACGCCAGAAGACGCCTCTGGAATCAGCCATTTGGTCTGTGGAACATGTCATTCAAAATGGTTTAGTGGCCGCAGAACTACTTCAATCGCCGGGCATAGAGCTCAACAGTTTTATCTACCACTCATTGGATAGTGTGGCTCTTATTTTCATTCCCGTAACACTTTTAATAATAATCCTAAGCTACCTGTGCAGAAGACACCCATCTACAACTGCCAATAAGAAACTTGGCAAGAAGCCAAAGAGATCTTAAAGCCTCACGATTCTACTAAATATTACACATGACAATTTCTGTAACAATAAATATATATTAAGCATAGTTAAAGGAGGATTTCAGTAGCGCAGGCGTTGCATGCAGTCCCTGCGACACTCCTCGAAGGTCAGGAAATTATTCTCAGTGGAGGCGCAGCCCGTGTAGTAGAAGCTTTCGCAATTTCCGGTCTTCTTATTGTAGGCATATCGCAGTTGGCGGCCTCGACACAAGCCAGGTGCCTTGGGTTGTCTGCAAGCTGGGAAAATAGTATAGTTGTTATTTCAAAAAATATAATAAAGTTTAAAAACAAATAGCTCACCTATTATATGTTCTGCTTGGTCGTGCGTCTGATTTTCCAAACTGGGAAGGGCCATCGAGAGGCCCACGACAAGAAGCAACACTAGCCAAAGTTGTCTCCAGCCCAAAATCATTGCCATTTTCATAAATTCATAAATATAACTCTCTTTTCCTCCTGTTAAACTTTCGTTTTTCAACTACAGAGCTTCAGTTTTCCGTTGCGATCTGCACTGACGTCGGACACAGAATGTTCTCAATTAGTTTGTCTAGCATTTTGACTGATTCTTCTCGGCTTTCTCTGTTTACCGATTCTTCTTCCGTTTGTCACGTAGCTGAGTTTTGTTTTTGGCCAACTTCGTTTCCATCTTAGCTTTTCCCCTTTTTATTGCATATTTTCCACTGCACTCTTTAGCAAGTGAAAACGTGTGCAAAGAGAAGCGGCCATATAGGAAGTACCTTGAAGAAGGTCAATGCTAACCGCTTTTACATGATGTAAACACTATGTTTAGTTCTCTTTTCACTTAAATAAATTACATCGTTGTCTTTGAATGTCATAATATTAGGCATACGTATCTATTACAAACAACGAAAACATGTTAAAAGAAATACTATGAACTATCGCATAAATTTGTTTATTCAATTTCTAACTGATTTACTTAAAATAGACAATTAAAAGGGCATATTATTCGTACAAAGAATAGACATGATCGCTAAAACTAATGAAATATAGAAGAGAGGCTTGATAGAATTTTAACAAATGTTTTTTAGGGGGTATGACGGAAGATCTTGGTCAGATGTTGCTTTAAAATGTTCTTACAGACTATAAGGCAACCCGATTTGTATGCATCAACAATGATATATGTATAATAATAATGTTAATAATATTTAATAGATACAGATAGAAAGAATTTATACAATGCACATGGCTAATAGAGCTCTAAAACAGAGTCACAGAGACCTACTTACAATTTACATCAATTCCAAGCGAACTTGACACATATTCTCATTAAAAAATAATAGTTATAAACTCGTTAATAAATTCATTGCGTTGCACATCATGGGGATAACACATCACGGAGACGTATGTATTTCTATATATGTATCTAAAAGAGCTAAAAAACGATGGATGATTGTGTGCGTTTGTGTCGGCCCTTGGCCTTGCGACTGCTACGTTTCTTTGTTTTTTGGGCAGCTTTTCGATGCGAGCTGCTGACTGTTGCTGTTGGCTTTGGCGTACATATGGCGCACTTAAGATCACTTTCTTCTCCTCCCTGGCTTTCATCTCCTCCGGTTTTCTGTAGCAGAAGCGTTTAGAGAGCATCGTCTAGGAAACGGAACCCTAGAAGTCCTTGTCCCATCCAGTGACATCGTCTGGTGGTGGACCCTCTGGATCTGGTGGATAGTCATCGAAGTTTGTCGTATCCACCACGCTCTTCACGGCAGGCTTAATGGGCGGTTCCAGGGTGCAGTTCTGCAGGCCCCACCAGTAGAAGCCATCGAACCATCTGTGCCGGGGGGAACCAATAGATTAGTTTGACTTCGAGATGCTTTTATAGGGAATCTTACTTGTGCTTCTGTATCTCGCTGATTCCCCCACGCTGGTAGCCCAAACGCTCGGCGGGATTGTCGCGACACAGCTTCTTGATCAAGTTGCTGGCATTCCGCGTGATATTCCTGGGGAACTCGATGGCATCGATGCCCTTAAGTATGATGTTGTAGGTACGCATGGGATCCGAGCCAGTGAATGGAGGGGTACCTAGAATAAAATGGTTATATAAATTATTTGTGTTGATTTATTGATCTTATTATTATTATCTTACCCGTTAGCAACTCGAACATGAGCACTCCCAGCGACCAGTAATCCGCACTAATGTCATGACCCCGGTTGAGAATCACCTCGGGAGCCACATACTCCGGGGTGCCGCAGAAAGTCCAAGTCTTCCGGCCCGTCTGAAGCTTCTTGGCGAAGCCAAAGTCCACCAGCTTCACATATCCTCGTTCGTTGAGCAGCAGGTTCTCTGGCTTAAGATCCCGGTAGATGATGTTCCGCGAGTGCAGGTAATCAAAGGCCTCAACCACACACGCCGTGTAGAAGCGGGTGGTGCTGTCATCAAAGTTGCCCTTATCCCGCAGAATCGTCCAGAGCTCTCCGCCCAGGCAACTCTCCATCAGCATATACAGGTACTTCTTGTCCTTGAAGGTCTTGAACAGCTTCACTATGAACTGGCAGTTGGCCTCGCCCATAATCTCCTTTTCGGACATAATATGCTGCTGCTGTCGCGTCTCCACGATCTGTGACTTTTTCATCTGCTTGAGGGCAAAGGATCTGGAGCTATCTCCATTGGTTTGGACCAGCTCAACACGACCAAAGCCACCTACGCCCAGGGTCGCGATAACGCGCAGATCTGTAAGGTTGATATCCCGGAATTCCTCATTGATCCTGGAGAGATTTAAAGTCATTAATAAAAAATTTAATAATATATTTAAAGTTTAAAAAAAAATTCAACACGTAATATTCCTTTAAATAATAGTTATATTGTCGTAAACCCTAGCAAATATTTCAAATTAACTGACATTTTAAATAAATTAATTTGAATAAATTTGTATAAATTTTCCTCTCAAGATTTGTTTAGTAACTACTTGCTAAAGTCAAAACAAATGTGGTGATTACGTATAGCGATTACTTGACTATCAAATAATTATACACTTTAAAATTTAAATAGATTTTTTTGATTTCGAGGTAGTTCGTTGACCTTGTTGTAGGTTGATTCAATTCCTCATGGCTAATCTTGATTTATGTTTCTACTAAATATTAGCTTACTTTCTGCGCTCCATGGCTCCCTCGTCGTCGTAGCGATGCTTGATCTCGTCCAGATTGGAAATGAGCTGATTGAAGGTCTCGCGATCGATGACCAGACAACTGACGCCGTCAGCGGACTCGCAAATAATATTCGCCGTGCGCAGATCATCGCTAAATAAATAAATAAATATTAATTTAATTAGTTTTAAAATATAGTTACGATTTTTCTCATATAAAACTCACCCCTGGAGAGCCTTTTCTCCAAAGAAATCGCCCTTGCCCAGCATGCGAATGAACTTCTCCTCCTGGGTATCCTGCTGCTTGATCGTCACTCGAACCTTGCCCTTTGATATGATGAAGAAGGTATCGCCTCTGGCTCCCTGGCGCACTATGTAGTCGCCTCGCTGGTAGTGCGTCTCCTCCAAGACATCGGAGATCTTGATTAGCGTGTCATCCGCCAGGTCTTTGAAGATGGGCACACTGGCGGAAGATAAGAAAACCAAAAATTGTTAGTTTCATTCGAGAGTTAATCGCCGTTGCAGGCCAAAGAAAGTGGTGTAATTAGTGGTCGAGCCAAGTTCGATCTAGATAAGAGAATTCCACAGTAATGGGAATCTATTGTTGACCTACATCGATCACTGAAAGTCGCACCTGAACTCCTCCCATTGTGTTTTCCCTCTGGCTCTGTGCATCGCATATATCTTTTAACTTACACTCAACAAAAAATATGTTTTTTTTAATATGAAGATGATCTAAACTTGTTTTTAATAAGAAGAAAGCTTTGAAATACTGAAGAGATTTTAACAGCACTTATAAAGTGTAAAAAAAAGAAAAATTATATAAACTTTTTCTATTCAGTATTTTGAAGTGCTTTAAAAAATTCCATATTTTATTTTCTCCAACTGTAGACCAAGATAATCGAACTACTACTCCTCCCATTCTTTTTTTCCCGCTGGCTAGCATTTCTTTAGTGAATGCCCACATGTATCTGGAATCTATAGCTGCAGTTGCAGTTGCAGCTGCAGTATCTGTATCTGAATCTTTCATCATCGTCATCATCAACCCATTGCACTTTCATTTTCTATCCGCTTTTTTCCGCTACTTCTTTGAATCTGGAATAGGCAACGAGTGCATGGTCGAGGTCTCAATTATGGTTTTTAGCAGTTTTTACGGACGACCAATTAAACGCGATTAATTTGCCGGTCACTCTGGGAAGGAGCGACTAGTGGAGGAAGGTGGAAGTGAGACTGGAAGCTGCTCATTGCACAGACTTGGCAAAAAAACTGGTTGCCACGGCTGCCAGTTAAAAAGAAAGAAATTTCTATGCGTTCGTTGGCCGCAGTTTGAAGTTTAGCCGAAGTGAGTTGTGAGTTTTCAGTTTGAGTTTTCAGTTTGAGACATTGCACGTCATATGGACGCCCATGACCATGACGATGACGAGGATGGCCATAATGTTGCATTCGATCTGATGCCGAAGAGATGCCGTCGATGGGAGAAAGTTACCTTACTTTATTCGACAAACCTTGCACGATTTGAAAACACAAATCGACCGGGGCGAAGAAGCAAAAAATCCTTAAGCTAAGCGATTTTTACATTTGCCATTATAAAGTAATGACCATACACGAAGTGCTCTGCGGAATTTATATAATTAAGTGCAAATGAACATTAATTACGCCCAAATTGCAAATAACCAGTCGGCACCATCTCGCCATCGCCATCCCCACAGGCTCCGGGCCTCATTAAAATGCACATTAAATTGCCGATTGGCAATGGGGAAGTTTGTCTGCCTGGTCTTGGACTTGCTCTTCGAGAGGCTGTTGGCCAAAAAGGAAAGTGGCGGCTCGGGCGGAGGGCTACTCACCTCTTGAGGAAGTCACTGTACTCCGCCTGGCGGATGAGGCCCGTTCGCATCATGATGGTCTGGAAGCACTGGCGCTCGATGGCCCACAGGTTGCACTCGGTGATCGCGGTGATGGTGGCCGTCCGCTGGCAATTGTACAGGATCGCCAGTTCGCCAAGGACCTTTGCCCCCGAAAGGGTCGAAAGGTATTTGCCCTCGCGGGAAACCTCAACGCGTCCATCTGGAAAGGAAAATGGTGAAATTAATAGGGTAAATAGATAAGGTTTGGATACACTGCCGAGACTATTTCGTAATTCTATGATTCATTAACAAATATAATACATGATTAATGGTCTAACTAAATAGTTAAGATTTTAAGAGAGTAATAACAGAAATGAAAAATTTCTTAAATTCTATTTAATTATCAAATAATACAAAAGTTAGGTCTTTAAACTTATGGCATAATAAGAGGCCATCTTAAACCCTCAAATATAAGGATTTGGTTATCCCATCATCTAGACCTTACCCTTCTCTGCTTCTTCCTCCTGCCCCGCACTCGACTGCTCCTTGAGATTACCGGTCCTCCGTCGCCTGGCATATGTGTGCACTGGTACAATGAGTCGGGGTCGTGGGATGCAGAATCCTTCCCCGTTGAGATCCTTGGAGCTGCCATTACTGCTGGCAGCGGGCGAGATATGCGGACTCTTCGGCGGACGAACCGCCT